AAATGTCTACAAGGTAGGGCATTTCCTTAACACCCTTAGTTTGATCTCTTCCAACTTAGAAATATTTACTTGGTAACAATCTGTCTCAGCCTCTTTTCAGGGGAGGCTTTTAAATTCTTACTCTGTGGCAAAAGACACTGTGTTAAAAATGTAAATGAAGTTTATTCAGAAGGGTAAATGTGGTAACTAGTGTCCTTTCAGTGACTTTACAGTGACTCATTCTAGACTTTCAAAAAACACATCACTAACATCACACACCACTATTGATAAGAGTAAAAAAAAAAAGTTTCCTGTAATTTGAAAAGATGGAAACAATTTCTTTACTCAACAGTCAGTACTTGGAAAAGTTATTAAACAGAGGTCATAGAAAGGCTTCATTCTAAGGAAATAGTGCTAAAAGTTTAAACTGTGGGGGAGAGAACTAGCACAATCATGGATTTCCTTTACAGTTGTTCTCAAAGCAGCTTTGACATGGTCAGAGATAGGGCAAGTGTGACAAAATTCTCTGAATCTGCCAGGAAACACATCAGGAGGAAGCGATGCTACCCACTGTCCAGATCAGCCTAACGAAGAGAAGAATGAATTCTTATAGATAGTTTTTCCTTTAAGATTACTCAGTCCTAAAACCAGTTTTCTATATTACAAGTGTGCTCTGTACCTCCCCAACCCAACCCAGCTATGGATAATTTTAAGAGGATGCTACAAGTCACCAGCCTGAACGGAAATAGAGGGAGAGAGATTAAGCTGCAGAGCGGAGACTGCAGCTGACCCGGCTCTGCTTCCTCAGTCCGCCTACGCTTTCACTGGCCTAGCGCTCCTTACCTGAGCCAGCTGACTGACTCTAGCTGGCAACTGATCTTCCCTTCCCTCAATTTCCCTATAGCCTCTTTTTCTCTCATTTAGCCTGTCCTTCCTTCAACTATTGCAGGGAAAGCTCTTTTAAAAACAAACAAAACAAACCTCCAGCAACACCAAGGGACCAACAGGACTGCCCATATGCGATCAGAAGGAACACTTGCTATTAGGCCAGAAGTGTAGTGAAGCTTGGTAGACTTTTCTTGGCAGCTTTAGGAAAGCACGCACAAGCTAAAAGCAATAGGGTTTTAAAGGCTTGTATTAAGAAGTTAAAAGCATTTGCTTGTTGCAGTTTGAAGCTATCAGACCAGTTCAGCTGAAAACAAGAAAGACTAATTCCCTGAGGAAACAAACCTGAGGTTTTGCTGATTGACTATAAAGGGAGACAATATCCATTCCTTAGTCCTGGCTCTCTGTATCTTACAAAAGCATGGGACAAAAGGGGTCAGAGAGTGCATGTGGCTTGGCCCAAACAAATCATTTAGTTATAGGATGTGAACCTCTAACCTTTGTGAGAAAGCAGAACGTATCACATTGAAGACAACAGCTTCTCCCCAGTGTGGATGTACAAAAAATAGCAGCCCAGCCATCCAAAAATCCATCCTTCATTTGTTAATAATTTGCTCAAATGTCCTGCTCAAAGCCCAGAAGTCTGCTAAATACTTCCAAGTCATGTTTGCTTCCCAAGGGTTTTATAAGCTGAACTGGCAAGTGAGAGAAAAATAAGGAGAGGCTAGAGGAGAAAACAAAGGCTGACAAAGTAAACCTATCTTTATACATAACTTCAGGGTCTTTCCTTGTCACTTCTGGGGCTTAGGTATATGCAACATAAGTCAAGCTTCAGTTACAATTCAATTTTGTGTTATTTTTGCTAAGGTACGACTCATACATTTCTTTTGTTTAAGAATATCCATCATGCATTAGACTATTCTCTGCACTTCAGTATGCTTACACAAAAGGTTAAAAGCTTGGCATCAGGAACTGAATGCCTGACAGAGATAAGATGACATTCAGAATATATAAAAAGTAACTTCCTAACATCATAATAAACTGACACCTTGCTGCAGAATTACATCTACTATTAAATGACAGTTCTATCTCCTTCTCCCTTGCTGTCATTATTACTAACCAAAACTAAGAGTGACCCAGAAACTGTGATTTAAATCTAGCATTTGTGTGTGTAACGTCAGATCAGTTCTTATGTGGGAGTAGTGATACTCTGCGTTACAAATTTAACACCAGTGTCTTGCACCTACACCTACGTGAACATTTAAAAGAAAACTGCACAGTTTAGATTAAGCATTGCTATGGACCATGTGGACCTGGCAATGAATCCCTAGAGCTTCTTAGAAAAGCACCATCCCCCTCAAAAAAAGGAAGGTTAATGTGGTAAGTTAACTTCCTCCCTTCATCTTTATCAGCTTTGAAACAATATGACAAGCAGACCTATTTGTGATGCTCCATGTGAAAAGCACAGTTACTTTGAGACTGACACCTATGCTCCAAGACTGGCTAAACATATTTATGGTATTAAATATTGCATTTCAAGTCATTAAGGCAAGTCCAGATTAAAGGGCCCTCTGCTCCCCACATCAGGTCACAGCAATTCCAGTGACAAGCTGAATGGAAGAGGGTGGGAGGCAGCTCTTTCTCCAACAAGGAAGAAGTTATCTAGATTTTCAGTTTCCTTAAAAAGCAGCTTTTGTTAAAGCTCTGTTACCAGTTGCATGTTTTATAGTTTACAAGCTTTGGGAGTTAAGGCTTTCCAACTCCATCATTACTTTTTTTTGGTGCAGGTGTTTCAGAGGCCTTTGAGCATGAGTACCCAAAAAGGAAGTTTTGATCTTAAGTTTCATATTTGCTGGCAAAACACACTAGTCAAAAATATCTATTTGCCTGCAGAATCTCACAAAAAAAAATCTGTCACAGCCCAGTAAAAAGCATTTCAAGTCACATCTAGAGTGTCAAAAATAAGTAAATTGACATTAGAGGAACTTATTTCTACTAAATCGATTTTGTTTTAAATGTCTTTATACGGTTAACACTCAAAACCTGTATTTCACAACTGAGGAAGTTGTATTTCAGGCTAGTATAAGTTTGAGATCAATAGTTCACCAAAAGCCTAACAGGGCAAGGTCATTAAATTAGAAACATGAACCACAGCCGCAGAATGACTTCATACTCCAGACTGTACACAAAGAAAGCACAGCCATTCTGATTTGTGGAGAAAATCAAAAACCTTACTAAGAGACTACAGATCAAGAAATCACTAACAGGTGATCATCTAAGAACACCAGAAAGATTGGAACTTGAAATGCATTTAGTAGGACTGCAAGGCCACCTAGAATACGAGAAAAACAGAAAAACATGACTAAAGGTTGCATCATGCAAAGTAGCAATTGTGAAAAGGAAGGAGAGATATGTGGATAAACAGCCGAATGCGAGACAGTGCAATACCATGACAAAAGAGGGACAGTGTAATCTTTGGATGTATTAGCCAGAGTTATGAAATAGATCACATTCCTGCACTTAACTTCCTTACCTGTTTCATGACAAGATACTATAAAAATCTGCCGGCAATTCTGACACCCATAGCTTAAGCAAAAATACGGAAAGGGACTAGGAGAGAGCTACAAAATGATTGAGTACAGATGATTTGATCTGTTAAACAACAGAAAGCCAAGTCAGATGTATTCACATTAAAAAATTAACACAATTCTAATTGGGCAGCAGCTATCAGAAGAAAACCCAACTAATCATTATGGGATTCACCATTTCTTCATTTCCTAAAATCAAGACTAGAGTACTTTTTGTGAGACCTGTATCAGTCAACCAACAGAAGCAGGATGGCATTTAAAGTCTGTGCTGAAGTGAAAATAATGTAAAATGAGTACTGGCTCCTCACCTACAAAATCACGTTGTTTGAAGTAACCTTTAAACTTGTTTCTTCTTTCCCTGCCGCCGCCCCCAGTAAAATGCTAACACATGAGTAGAAGATTGACCTAAACTCAGCTATTCTCTTGTTATCTTACTAGATGATAAACGATTCATATGCAATGCTTACTGTACTTATCTAAGTATTTCTAATGTACTGATCACAGCATTATCTAAGCATTGTGTGATTAAAAGAAATGATTGCTTTATCTTTTAATAAATTTAGTGCCTGCTGCACTAGAGGACACGTATTCAAAGTGAAAATTCTTTATGCAAGCTCCATTAAATTTACTTGTACATTCTATATACAAAGAGATCAAAAAGATGCAAGTAATTAAGAAATCATAGGGAAAAGAAGGCTTTGACACAATACAGTAAAATCATCACCTTGAAGGAAAGATCTCAGAGGTAAGACAGACGCTAGCAATACTAGTTTAATTATAAAAAGGTAAACTAGAGTAACTAGCTTGTAACTTAGAAATAATAACCAAGAAAGCCTTTGCAGACAGAGGCAGCAAAATTCAGACAGGACAACAGTATATGAGTACAGGAAAGACAGACTACAGTAAGACATCATGATTTCTCAAAGCAAAGAAGACATGAAGAACAGTCATTTAGGGTTCTCTCATGAAGGAAGCAGTGAGTTCACAGGACAGCGAAAGCTCCAAAAGGAACTGAAAGCATAAGGAACACAGAGGCCAAAGGATGCATCTTCAGATCCTGCAGTGACATGGGAGCAGTTAATAACATTTACTCCCTTTATGTAAATCTTGAAACCAGAAGAGTTCTACAACAAATCCTCCAATACTATCATAGCAGAAGAGTAAGCACAGAAAGGAATGGTTGCTGGAATGGAAATGCGTGCATTTTTTTTGGACAGAGAATGTTTTCAATCTCATCTATTGATTGGTAAAAATTACCAAGTACAAGACAAAAACCATACAGAAGTCAGAGTTTACAAGTGTTGCCTGTAGCATGGGTGCTTGTACAGAAGCAATTACTAACAGCTCAGAAGTACACCCATAAGGCAGATGTAAGGCCTTTGCTTTTATGGGGGGCACATTCAGCCATACAGCATCGTCCCACTTCGCAAAGCAGTGCCTTGTATTCGCAGTAGGTTAATAAGGAAAGAAAGTGGAGGAAGAAAAAAACCCACAAAGTACAAGTAGTAATCAGTATCAAGTTACACATTTCATGCCATCACTTGTTACCTGGATTTCTAATTCAGCAATATGCTGTTGGAGTTCAGCCACAGCTGCAATGCAGTCTGCCTCACGGAGCCGTACTGCCATCACTTCTTCTTTACTCTGAAAGAAGTAATAGGTTGAAGCTAACAAATAACACTAGTTTCAGTTGATTAAAGACTGTGCACCGCTTTTACCCAAAATCATGTAAGTAAAGAAAACTTAATACACTGCTGTGTGAAATATCATACCTATTGATAAGGCATATTCTACAGAACCCAAGTTTAATTTTAACCCATAGACTTGTGTAATCATCTAATATCAATTCTAAACTACAATAATCTAAAAAATACCTGTGTAGTTTTGAAAACATGCTATTATCAATTTCCAGGTCCAGAAAACAGTTGTCTTGTCTTCCAGAAATGTTATATTGTAGATTAAGAAAAAGTATCAACATAACAACAAAAAACCCAGCTCATGCTTCAACTTTTGACTTTATATATAGAAGAAACAGCAAAGCTACACAAGAATTACTTATTTCATCATTCTTTTTGTCAAAAAAAATTAAAAAAAACCCAAACATAAAAGCACAGATGTTCTCAACCTCATTTAAGTCCGGCTATCTCAGTCACAGTATAAAACAAAGATTTGCAAGACAGTTTAGAGTAAAATTCTAATGCCTGTAACCTACAATCAGACTCCTGGTGTAAGTTCAACCTGTAAGTTTGCCTATAAGCAATAGACAATTTGAGTTTGGACAAGAGACAGGGCAGTTTAATTATTTCTATTTTACAAGACAAGTCCTCAAGACTTCAGAGCACAAAACAATTACTATTACATTGTCAGCAGCTTTGGTAGAACCACAGAAAGAAGACAGTGATAGATACTGAGTGAGAAATCTTTCAGCTGGAGTGCAAATAATTCTGGAGAAGAGAGACTAGGCTCAGGTACACTTATTTTTATGGCAGACTGCTGTAACTCTGCAAACTGTAGTTACTGTAAGTCAGTTCCAGTATTTCAGTCATTTTAATGTGTGCTTCAACCTTGAGAGTACTTAACCACCCTCATTAGACAGTTTGGTTGAGACTGAATTGAACATGCCAAAGCTTATCTATCGTAGCTACTTGAAAACATGCTGTTTATTTGAAAAAAGACCCCTGTGAAAAAGGTACATCTTCTACAGTATCCAATTAACGGCATTTGTAATCACTGGAGTCCATTTCAGAAGAATCCATCATGTGCTAGCCAAAGTTTAGCCAATATTGCTAAATTCTGCTGCACAGTTGCTCGAATGAAGCCAAACCCACAAGTCCACAGGATTGCATGTATTTAACTGAAAGCTAAAGGACAGACTGGCTTGGTTTGACTTTGGTATCTGAGATGAGTCAATAGTGTTGCTCTAGATAGCACTGATGCTTTATCTCCAAAACAGAGCATGTTCTCAATAATTACCACAAAAGTTGATATGGTAGGAAAGACAAGACTGGGTCAGAGGCACAATCTTATGTTATAAATTCTTCAGCAAAACTGATTAGAAAGATCAGTGCTGTGTTTCAAGAAACAATTTGAAATTAAGTCCTTGCTGTAGAAGCAGTAGTCAGATAAAGAGGGAAAAACATAACAGTACACACCAATGACAGAAAACAGTGTCGTATAGGTGGTATGAGATGCAACTTGCTACAAAAATTTTGTGTTTCTGGTTATGTATTTTAAGCTACACTTTAAGGAAAAATACAAGCTCCAGAAATAATGTACCAGTTCTTTCTGCACAGAAAAAACAATTGGGGAGTTGAAAATCCAAATGTATCTTCTCTGATACACCTCTTCAAGTAGAAATATTGCTACCTAGCCAAGTTGTAGTGACAGAAACAAAACTAGCTCATTATTTCAGATGACTTGAAACAGTAGGAAGGGAAGAAAAAAAAAACCAAACATCTGTTTCTAATGGAATTAGGAATAACAAACTTGCCAGATTTAAGGAGATGCAAGGTAGAACTTCAAATAATATTTAGTGCTACAAAAAATTTAGCATGTGTCTGTATTGCTCCACGACATTACCTGAAAGATTATTGAAACCTTCTTCATCAGTTTTGCATACAAAGTTCTTGTATCGGTAACATATTAAACAGCTTTATTTCAGGTATTTACACCGCAGTGCTGTCTTTTCAATTCAATCTACCTGCTATTATCTGTATTGCAAGCCAAATCTAAGTTGGTAGCAACACTATTTAGTCAAGTTACAGATACCGAACCTACTTCTAGAAGGACTGCAGGTATGACAAATCCGCTGCTATTGCTGGAGGCTAGCCCTTCACACCCATAACATATGCCTTACATCACGGTCATAGGATATGCTGGTTTCTTGTAAACCTAGTTAATATAAACAAAGCCAGTCAAGTTGCAAGGTTGTGGCTTGACAAGCATAACAACATTTCTCTTTCTACTTCAGACTTCAGCCTTCATTCTTTTCTTTAAATTCACTTTAAAATTAAAATCTCATTTTCCTCACATAGTGAAGTAATAAACGACCCCAAGCAGGGATTTCTTTCATGTACTGTGGTATAGAGATGGGGCGACAGGAACTTAAAATAGTCTCTCCCATAACAAGAAAAAGTGAAAGCATTTGGCATGAATCTTAGATTAAGCTAAAAATCACGCTTCCAGTAGTTTGAATGTGGAGAGCAAGGGACAGGAAACAGAATGACAATCCTTACAAATCAACTGCCAAAGGACAATGGCTTTTTGTATCCTCTCATTTTTCACCTAACTGTATATTATCACAGAGTTAGAAATGGAAAAGTTTTTCATGAGTTTGAAATAGCAATAGGAATTTCAATACCAAGTTATGTCCCATTTAAGGAGCGGGAGAACACTTAAACTTTTGTATATTGTTTTAACATGGCTTAATTTTCTTGATGACACAGCATTCTTATTAAATCTCTAAAACACTGCTGAATTGCTTGTATAGATTATTAGAGAATAAAGTCACAATGAAAGTTCATGACAAGAGTCAGAGGTAGGGGCAAAAGGGAATATGAGGGGAAACTATATTGAAGAAAGGTAGTTTCCAACAAGTTAAGTGTGAGCATCTTTCAATACAGTTCGCAAAAAACCCTTGTGTATTTAAACAGTACAGGAGTCTATATGGTATTATACTACGCCTCAGCCCAAGAAGTCACAGTCTAGCTCACAGTTAAACAGTAGAGCTCCAGCTAATGTATATGCATCATATTGGTAATATTTCATTTTATATCAAACATCAACTTGGAAAACATGTTACAATGTAAATTCTGATCCTCTTCCTGTCAGTGACTGCAAAACAAGTTTTGGGATCTAATATTACTGAACATCAGTACCGCTACTTCACTGGCTATTGACCACTGCTACTTTCAGAGAATGTCTAAAAAATATGACTGGTGCTGTGTCTATTACTATCACACTTTTCTCTAACCCATGTTAGAACATAACTTTCCAAGCAAGTTATCCCCATGAGAGCAGTCATGTATATTAACTCATTAGTCAGGTTAAAGACATATTACTCTTTTTATAGTAAAAATAAAAACTGCAGAATATTGACTACACTCTCTCATTCCCTTAAGGATTAATGAGGACCTTCAGTATCAAACACCAATCAAACAAAAAAAGTTATGGGTTACATGAAAAGACATGTCGCCAAGATCATGAATATTAAAAAAACAAACAAACAAACAGAGATCACTAAGAATAATCTCAGCATTTAAAAAAATAGCACTTAGGAAACCAGTGATTATGGTAAACAAAAACCAGTCAGTAGAAGCAATTTCTTCTAGTTAAGATTCAGGGGCTTGTTTCCTAAAAGCTTGTGATGGAGTTTGATGAGTCAGTAGAAGTTACGTCTTCACCACATTTTAGATTCAGGTTCCATTGGAAACAAATGGAACTGGCAAGACAGCAAGAAAAATAAAAACCTAAAAAAATCCTGAAATACCTAGAGTACATCTCAGTTATTTATTGTTCTTAAATTTCTTTAAAATGGAACTGAACAACAACAAAAATTGGCTTCATTTTGCTGAAAGAACTCTGAGGCAAAACTAGCAAGAAATTGCCAATTACAAATTACACACTATGGCTTTGAGTAATGAACACAGGATCAGAGTTTACTACGTAACTGAATTGCCTAGATTTATGCATTACCTTGGAGAAAAGAAATTACAAGAAGAAATGAAAATCTGTAAAAACTGAGAAGTATGATATTATTAGCAAAACTATGCATATTAATAAGGATGTCATTTCATCTCCAGGCTAAGTGACAATGATAAACCACTCAGACTACACTCTTGATTCATATGGGCCACAGAAACCTTTGACAGAATTGCAGCTAACGCAGTCTGTAGGGTACGTATGGTGTTACAAGCAAAATGCATGTATATGGATAAAACTGAAAAATGCTCACTCAACCAGTAAGTGTTCTGCATGAATGAGAATAGAAACAAACAGTACAGATAAAAAAGGTTTGGTTACATTAAGGGCAAAACTAAGATGTGATCATAAACAACAAATTATATAACAGCATCTGCTCTCAAGTGGCAAATTCACAGCCACAGTTTAATAAATGGTAGTCTGATTATTCATCTCATTAGTACGTTAAAAATAGTGCTAAGTATCCTATTTAGAAATTACTGACTGTTCAGCTCTAGCTGATTTTATAAAAGACTATTTATGTGTCTTTTGGAAATAAGCTTTAAGTAAAAAGTTGTTTTCACGTCTCTAGCAAATAATGTCTTAACTATAGTGATTTGTCAACTAATACTGCCCTTTTTTGAAGTAAATATAGTGGCAATTTCAGGGAAATTTTCATCCAAGTTAGGAGAACAAAGCTTGAAAGACTTAGCCTTTATTTCTTGTCCATATGACATGTGCACAAGTTATGAAGACATAAATTATTAGTAACTGGTTATGGAGTTAGTTACAAAACTAACTAATTAAATCTGAGATTCAAACATTAGATTGGGCTCTCTTTTGTGCATTGACAGTAATAAAAAAAACCTCTTTTGCCCAGTGTTTTTGGGCTGTCCTCTTAAAGTCTGGTTACTATTAAGCAGTGACTACCATAAGACTTCCTTCTGTACACTTCTCCATTCAAAGGGTACTTCTACTCCCCTTTTTTGAACCTAAACTAATTCTGCAGTAATAGTCAGTGTTGAAGTAATGAACCTCTTCTGTCACTAAAGACAGAGTACACAGTGATCAGAATCTGTTGTGTAAGAGTGTCTTTTTATGTATTATACACAGACACTTTTCTGAGTAGAACCACACTTTAAAAGTTTATCTTTGTGGGACCACAAAGAAGCAGCTCTGTCAAAACCTCAAGTGATTTTGTGAGATGGGAAATTCAAGATGAAATTGTCAAATCAGTAAAAGAAAGTTTTGGTTTTGTGATTTCTACTTCTCAATTAAGACACAAGTCTATCCAACAATAGCGGACAAGACTAGAAAGTAGACAGACATTAGCACACAAATAGTCCAGTCACGATGTTGTTTACCTTGCATTCAATCTCTGCTTGTCTACATTTTTCTTCATTCAACTGAGCAAGAAGTCCTTTGTTCTGTGCAGAAAGATACTGTACCTTCCGCTGTAGGTTGGTAACCTCTTGCTCTGCCCTTCGTAAATGGTTACTATTGATCTGATTCTGAAGTTTATGACAAAAAAAAAAAGGAAAGAAAATGCATGTTAAGGAAGGATCTTTGATATTAATTTAACTCCTGGAAGCCTGACGAGAAATACTTGTAGATTATCTACCATAAAAAACTTTTGATGAAAAAGCATTCAGAATTTTCTAAGTGTAATCAGAAAAGTCTGCTTGACATTTGGGTTTATGACCAGGATATTCAAATCATTCTTAAACAACAGATGACTCATTGTAAGAACATGATTGCAAAGCTCCTGTACATCTGTTTTTTCCCCAATCTCTTGCTTAGGTAAGTAAAAGATTTTGTGAAGTTTTATCCCATCTACAGCAACAAGCTGACGCATCCGAGAAACATCAGGTATGTCAGAAATACTACGTGCACATTTCTCTGTCCAGTGAATTCCTGAAAGTAACATGGCACCTTAATTAAGATCAGTGCATTAGCACAAGGCACACCATTTTTATACGAAGCTGTGCGTAGACCAGTACATGACATGAGAACCGCTGCACTTCTGTCAAATGACAGCTGAACAGCGTAAGCATACACAAAGACTCGATGCAGAACGAAGTGAGAAGTACCTACGGTCTTGTGACTTTAATACATGTAATCCAGACAGCAGGATACCTATGCCCCCTACTGACTAAAATAAATACACAGATGAGGAAAAACCAACAAAACAGAAGCACACATTAACTGTAGTGAAGCAGTGCTAACACTTCAATGACAATCTTAAAAGTTAAGACAAGAGGAAACTTTTATCCAGTTGCCATAGAAAAAGTGGTGCCTCTGTCAGAAAAGAGCCATCACGTGCCTTGCAGTTAGCTCACCTCTCTTCACTAGCACATCCTTACGTGCTCTCCTGGTTTCTGGGATGGCTGAAGCTTGTCAAGTAAAGTTTTTTGTTTGTTTGTTTAGCCTTTTGGATGCACAGGTCTCCTAAAGTAACAGTTCCATTTAGCAGGTAGTTCATGGGAATATTCCTCAAAAGCCTGTTACAAATCCTTCTTAATGAACAGCACATTGTGCTTATTGATTCAGTTAAGAGTTTGCTAATATAATACTTGTGCACTTTCATTTCAGATTTGTTTGCTTAATAACCATTTATTCCCTAGTTACACAAAAAAGATCTTGGCAGGCAAGTTATTTTTGTCTTTTTTGCACAAATGTCAGCAACAGTAAATCATGCTTTTCTTTTCCGGCACACGAAAGGTAAAGCTTCTGCTAAAAAGACCTGACAGTGTGCAGCTGTTTTGCTGGGAGTCCACACTTCAGTAACCAGATTCATGGCCTCAAGGGGATCATCTAGTGTAGGCAATTTCACCAGAAGAAAGAAAACACTGCCATTTAAAGAATTAGAATTACTATTATGAGAATCAATTAGGTTTGTGAAATTTAAAACACCTTAAAAGTACTTTTGTTGTTACACCAGTTAGAGAGTCTACCAGTTAGTCCAAATGAGAAATGCAGAAAGCTTAGTCCTGGAAAAGACGAAGGAAGAGAGTAAAGTAAGATGGACTGTATGCACTAGATTCTCCCTCCTAGTCTAACAGCACTAAAAAAAAAGCACATTTTGGAACTAAAGTAATGCCTGTAGATGGTAAAAGATCATCACCGAATATCCACCATTTGACACCAATTTGCCAGCATTCAGCTCAATTCACACATGCTAGCGTTCAATGACATACCTGCGTTTCCACCTCCATCATTCTTTGTTTGGTCTCTTTCAGTTCAGCCTGCGTTTCTGCTTCTCTCAACCGGACTGTCATCAGCTCATCCTGTAGCTCATTCACTGTGTTTTTTCTGGGAGGATCTTTCCATCTTCCAGTGGTACGAGCTAGATGACGCTAAAAAAAAAAAAAACAGCATGCCACTGCTGATAATGGCTGATCTTTCCTGGTGTTCCCTTATTTCATTTAAAGTCTCAGAGTTATATGGGGACAAGTTGCTATAGTGCTCCCATTTGTCCTAAAAACTAGAAACCCATGCAAACTTCCTAGTTTTAAGAATAGAAAATTAAAAAGCTGAAGACAGTTATTCCCAACCACAGGAAGTCAGTGAATTGCAAGTATATCCTGAGAATTTTACCTATTTCTAGCCCTTATTAACATTTAGTGAAGTAGGAGTACTGATCAGGTGCTTCCTTCCTACCAGAATGGTTAGCTGGTAGCACAGGCTCTCTGCCATCTGTAACAACTAGGGACCAATTTCGAACATGCTTTTGAAGTCAAGTTTCTTGTGGCAGCTGCATTTAAAGATTTTCTCACCTCAGCAGCTTGATCCACAATCACTAGGTTCTACTCAATCTCTAACTCTCAAAATTTCATAGTCTTTTGCTTTACCATCACTCATTGAAAATAGAAATTGTTTTAAGTGTATTGCTACCCATACCTGCCAATGTTCGTCCAAATCTTTGACTTGCTGCCTTAGTTCTTTGAGACCCGTCAGAGCTTCTGCTTCTCTTAATTTTACTGCAATCAGTTCTTCTTGTAGTCTAGCAACATTTTCCTCATCAGGGAGAGAGCTGTTCCTCTGCAAGAAGGACCATCCTCTTAAATACGCATTTGAATAAAACTGTGCTCAGTGAGACCCATGCCAAGAATACAGACATAGAATGATAACTCTTACTACTAAGCAAACAGTCTTAAGTACACATCCCTTGCAAAATAAAATCCCTCAAAAATCTAAGCTCCTGGATATAGCGAGTGTAAATAAATATATTCCAACTGCCAGCTACAGAAAAAAATTGACAAGGTAGTTTTAGGTATTCTGATTTCCAGATTTCCCCAGATGGTGCCATTACCAAAGCATTATTTACACTGTTTTTTTACACATTATAAAAGATATGGAGAGAAATCTGAAAGATTTTGAGCTACTTGATAAGAGTAAAGCAAATGGGGCACTGAAATTACACTTCTACAGTTATAACTTTCATTTAAAGGAAGAATAATAAATGGAAATTAGTTTTTTGCGAAGTAGGTCATCTGCCTTTGAAAAGGAGAAAAGATATCTTGCCAAAGGAACCATCCATTAATAAACAAAAACCAGTCAAGAAAAGGCCTTACAGATGAAAGCACATGGACATTTACAAAAACACATGAGGAAAAAGTAGAAAGACTAGAGAAAGCTAAACAGAAAACAGGGAAGCACATGACAGGAGTGACCTGAGGAAAGCAAAACAGTGCGAAAAGTATAATAATGGAAGTCTGAGAAAGAAACTGAGGGGAAGAAAAGGGACATAGTCTGCCTAACTACAATATCCCTACATCAAATCATTGGATACCAAATACTCAAAGTTGAACTGTGCTTCACCACTTTCTACTGTATTTCTCAGTAGTAATTTTCAGCAAAATCAAGTATTTTTGTAGATACATAATACTGATACATAAAACTGTTGCCAGGTTTTCTTGAGAGTTGAGAGTAAAGTACATTATTAACGGAACACAGCACAACAGCCGTTTATCAGCATCACTGTGTTTCAAATCATGGGCTCCGAGTATTGGCAAATACAGGAAGCGATAGGGTGTGTTTCTGAATGTTTACATCGCTGTCAGTATGGCCACGCAAATCTTGGGTTACGGAGCAGAGTTCTCCCAGGTTACATGACACAGCACTAACAGCAGTAGAGAGCTGTATTTGTAGGCATTTGAGGGAGCCAACTTCAGTCCCTTTCTCATGTGCCCAAGTTCATTATGGACAGACTGAAATACTTCACATCTGAGTTTGCCCGGCACACTGGAATTTCCCCCACTGCTCCAGTTTTCCTTCACGTTTAAGCTTTCTGTACATGCCATCTTGAGGCTGATGAAGGTTAAGTAAAGACTCAGTCTTTTTGAGCTTTGAAAAATACCCAAGATCCTGAATTCTTACCAATGTTCAGTACAGTAAGAACAACCATACTACTAGCCTGTCAGACTCCCATCAAGCCCCTCAGCTAATTAAAAAAGTAAAATCTCGACTCCAGTGGGTTAATCTGATTAGCTAGTAAGTTCTGGCCACTTTCCTCAGTATACAGCTCTTCAAAGTTTCCACGAGGAAACAATTTCCAAAGCCAATACAACAGAACCTGAAAAGCATCCTCTATTTTAGGTGGGTTTTTTTCTTTCCTTTTTTTCCTATTTTATTTTGCAGCTAGGTTTTTCTTCAGAGAAAGGTAAATGTTTGACAGCTGGTTGGAGTGCAGCTAAAAGTCTAGCATCAGTAAGTTACAAGCTGGGACAGCACCCAAAAAGCAGTAGAGACTTTGATAATAAACAGTGGAGGTATTCTTTCCCCTGCCCATAACAGGACAAAGTGGGAGACACTTAAAAACTCAAGACCTGGGAATGGGAACATTGAACTCTTTCCTCCTCCCCTCCCAACCTATTTAGTTTCACTTCACCTCAATGCTCACCCCAAGCCTACTGCTCTTGTTGCAGGATATAATTTTGAAAAAATTGATGTTTACTGTAAAGACTCCACCAGAATCCAAGCTTCAGGAACAGGAGAAAAGTGATCTGTTCTTCACAAACCTTTCCTGGTGCAAACGGATCTTACTTTTCCTGCTATATTAACTTCAGGTTTGAAAAGCATCTTGCAATCATGAAAACAGAGAAGAGAAGATTCTAGAGCACAGTTACGGAAAGAATTACAGGAACCTGTAGTATTCTGTTTCTAGTGCTATTTTGATATGGAAGGTCCTGGTTTGATTTACCTTTTCCATCTCTAGAACTTTATCTTGCATCTCCTTCAAGGCACAATGGGATTCTGCTTCACTCAGCCTGGCTTGGACCAGCTCTTTTTCCAGCTGTAGCACAAAGTCTTCACTGTATTGTGAACTGCATTTATGCTACAAAGTTTGCAGAAATATGTTTAGTATGAAGCACAGATGGTTTGAAAGGGGTTTTATACGCCAGATTTGGAGTGAAAAGTACATTCAAACGCTTAACATTAGGAATACGAGCTTAAGATCAACAGAATTGCTTACCTTATACAAGTCTACTAACGTGTCCCTCCAGACTGCTAACAACAAGAACCCTAATGCTACACCTCTCAAACAACTGCACCTCCACACAGCCAAATGCGTAAGACCAAACAGAGACCCCTATTAGTACTGATGAGCAACACCTCGCACTTTTCTCTCATTGTTACCCAAACCAAAAAATTCTCAAAGGATCTGTGATTATTTTGTGATATGCAGAAAAAGATACTTAGGGAAGACTAGCTAATTACAAGGTTAATACAAGCATCTCTCCTGATCCCCAGTCAAACTCTGATTCAGCAGAAGCCTTCCATAATCTTGGATTTAAAATAAAGCCATGTATGCTTCAATGCACAATCACTTTGGTTTGCCCCTTTTTCCCACTCCAACCCTTGGCTCTCGTTTGCTCACACTATACATATTCCTTCTGAGATTCTCTTCTAGGGCAAGCCCTGTGGATTTATGAGAAAATTCCAGGCACAAGTAGCAGTATAGCCCCTTCTAGACAGACAGCGTAGGCCCAAGCTACAAAGAAATGTGATTCTTTCCATACAGGACTTACTCCAAGACTATCCCCAGCCAGCTTTCCACAGCCAAACACATTCCCCCAGTAATAAAACAGCAGGTTCAGAGCTTAAGGTCACCCTTTCCAAACTTTGGGGGAAGGAAAAGAAAAAAAATCAAAACACCCAAACAAACCACAGTTCTGCTCAAATTAATTCACCATTAATTTATTTCTTGACTGTTGATTAGTTGGAATTAAAAGTGAGATCTATCCTTTCACTTGCTAAAGCACAATTTCATGAAACTGTATCTTCCAACAGATACATCCAACTGAAGTCGTACTGAGCATCTGTATTCAAGAGCCCCACTTAACTTTTTCCTCCAGTCAATAGTTACAAAATACATTTTATTTCTTGAGATTCACCACAGATTGTCAGACTTGCTTGACAGGCAATGCCATCATAAATCAGCATTTAAATTTCTGGTTTAGGGGGGGGAAAAAAAAGTGTCGAAATCCCCAAAGCATGCTTGCCTAGTTACTGTGTATGCATAGCTACCCTGAAAATTAAGTTTAAAGGGAAATAATTTAATACATCTTTAGTGCCATTAACTACATTGTGAAGAATAAATACTATACTTGGATTCATAGATGAAGTTTTATTCAATTGACAATGCAATTTTCGAATCCATAGAGTATTCATTATACTAAAGATACAACTATTTCTTACGTTATTTTATGTGTGCATCGAACAATTTCGTTTTCTGCATCTAAAAACAGTTGACAAAATTAACAGGAAAGTCTTCAGTTCCATATGCTTCTGGTTAGGGTATGACCAATCCCTGACCTTTAATGCACAAACCGAAGTCAAACAGGACAAAATAAGGATTTACAACACGTAACTACATGGTCAAGGAAATGGTTTTTCATTTATCTTTATACTTCTGCATGCCAACTAAGCCTTTCATCATGACTTACAGTACAATCCAAAATCTACACTAACTATCCTCAGTGGTACAATTTATTGTATTTCTTTTTTATATAGATATATGTCTACAGGGAGCTATAAGGGAAGGGATATATACAAAGCGTTAGAAGGCAAAGATAGCTCATGCCAGGCAGCCTTTAGTGTCACCGAGACTATCCATTTAAGTGCTCGCCCTACTTAACCGTGCAGCTGAACACACACGGAACGCTTAATGTACAAAGATCATAGTATATTTAATTTTCCCTTATACAATACTAATTTAATTCATATTCTTCTCAACCCACATAGTGTCTTTGCCTCAGCAAGCAGTGGAGGTAGCCCTGATTGAGTGTAAGGAGAGGATGGGTGGGCAACGCCGATGCATTCCTACAATTCCTTTGCATGATACAGGAGCACGAGCAGCATACGTATGTAACAACACGCAGACGCACAGAATAGGCAACGGCTCGCTCTTATTCCCTGGCTGTTTGTACAGGTTCATCGGGTGATACACAGAGCAACTTAAATGGACTCTACACTTCTTGTTCCAGATTCTGCTTATGATACATATGGAACAAGAACAAATGTAGTGTGCTTTCCTCAGGTAAGAAGTCCTCTTGTACTTTCCAGGAAATTGAGAGAAAACAGCAGATTTGAAGAGCTGAATACATCCTGATTTTGCAACAATACGTAAGTGTACTCTAAATAGTTTTGGACTACAAAAATCTAACTGATGTTTGTCAAATAATAAATAACGGAGAGTGTAAGAAAACTTACTTATCCAGTTTCAGGCACAAGTCATCTTTAAATCTGTCTTTAGATTTCGCCTGCCTAAGGAACATGTTAGGAGTACTTACTATTTAGCCTCAACAAACTTTAAATCAGTCTTGATGGACTGGCAAAAAATACAGCCAAGATGAAAACAGATTTAAAAACCAATATTCACAAGTTCAAAGTTGTGATTTTTTGCTCCTTAAATAAACAACACACAATTTTAATAATTTAGTATATAAAGGTAACACAAGTTTATAGTCAAAACATTGTTTGAAAACTATTTTAAGACTCACTTTAGCAAAAAAACCTGCTTTTATATATTTGCCTTAAGCCCTAGAATTTGTGACATAAACCACAATGTGAATCCAGATTTCCAGGCACCAGCCAAACGTTTTGACCACAGTAACACTGTTTTTCTTGGCTGTGTTGAAAAGATGTCTGTAATATAAAGCACTAAAAATGTAGTTCTACAGCCATTTACTTCTGAAAGAAACAAGTCCCTGCTTGGCTTCACACAACTGGATTTATTTCCTCCCAACTCTTTTTAAAAGTCTCAGAAATAGTAAAAGTTCACAAAAAGAAGAAAAAAAACAAACCCACAATCATTCCTAATATTATTTTGGCTGATGACAGATTATTACATGTAACTACAGAATGCTTTTCCAGTACTCCATACTGAATGGCAACTAACAGATTGTTCAGCAGCTGCCCAGCTAACTTAGTTTACACATTCAAGCACTAACTGTAGTACTTTACTAAATACAGTATTTTTATCTTCTGCTTTTGGGTTGTCAAATCAGAACACAATATTAAAAAAAAAAAGCATATTGTAAAATAAAGTGAAGCCTTCCATAAGGTTGCAACACTCATTTACAAGCATATATTCCCTACATCAATTATTATGCTCTTAATTATTATCAGTCATTTTAGTATGAGTTCCTGAAAAGAAACTAGGCACTATGGAGTTGCTGTAACAATAACCAAATACATGGCTATGAATTACCTTGCAAAATGCATATGCTTCCATCTGAACGTTTAGTCAATTAAAATTCTATCTTCACATAATACACTTTAAGAGCCCTCTTAAAAACAAGATGTGAAGCAATTTCAGCTTGAACTGCCTCTCATTTCTTAGGTTCGATTTTCAAGCATTCAGACTGATGAACTGCATAATCATTGAAAATCAGAGTATCCCTGGGAAAGTGTGAGATTTGTGTTCCGGAGGTGTATTTAACTGGCAGAAATCATTAGATTATTCATTTTTATATATCCAGCAGAAGCTACCTTTTTCACTTAGAAACAAGAGGAGAAAAAGAACAGAGGGAAAAAAACCCCAACCCTTCAGCACATAATTATCAGGAGTATGTTAGAACAGGCTGATTACCCTCAGCCCTAACTCCTCAAATACCACCGGTCTTAGCATGCCTCAAAAGACGACCTTCTATATTCTGTTGAAGTCAGGCACAACTTTCTCTACGCAGTTCTTGATTTACTAGCAGTATGAGGAAGAAACCACCTTCCACTTGAACTTCTGGTTACCCACCACATCTAGAAGCCTTGGGCAAGTTCCTATTTTTAAAGATTAGACATGCCAAAGCAGCTTAGTGCCATTCACTTCAAAACCATTCACGCAGATGTTTAAGTAGCTGAAGCACTGAACTCCAAAAGCACTTCAGAATATTGTTAGCTTTACAATTATTTTTTCCGAGTTATCAATACAAAAAATTGTCCAGGTTATACACTGTTGTTAAAAACCTTACACTGACAGAGTTGCTGTCTTCTAAGATGTAAAAGTTCGCATCCAAAGTAAAATTAAGCGTGAAGTCTCCATCACAAACCCTACTACTTTCCACTTCCTTTTCCCCTTCCAAATGACCTTAAATATATTCAGAAGTACGTAGAATACATTTGATGACACTTAGTATGTGATTTATTGTATGATCATTAGTACTATTTTCAGGTCGTCTGGGAGAAGTACTGTAGCAGAACTTCCCTTCCTTTCACTAAGAAACAACAGTAAGAAGAACCTCTCTAAGTAGACTCAACACTTTATTATAAAGTCATTCTGGTTTAACTAAAAACTCCCTATAAATACTTCAGCACAGGAAAAATTAAAGTTGCATGTAATTTGGGCTTCTGGTGCTGGACTTCAGTCAAAAGAATACTCTTCTACCCATCTCTGTATTCAGCCTTACAAAGGAGTGCTGCAGTGCAGAATTTCTTCATACACACACACGTCCTGCAGGCCCTTTCGATACCTTTAAGCCATTCACTTGTGCTATCACATCTCATCGAACAGATAGAATAAACCCTAGATAATATTTAAATACAAACGCATAACCTTTTTACAAAGGATATGTTAGCCTTCTTAGAAATGCTACGGTTTAGATAATATTTTTGCTACCAACAAAACCAAACCCCCTACTCTTATTTCTCCTGCCTCACGATTTACAAGCTAAAGTGGGTTGTGTTTCATTTTCTTTTTTTTAAAATCCCATAGTGTTGTTCAGAAGAGGCAGCCACAAATATCCTTAGGCAGTTCTTTTCGTATATTCCTATTCAGAAATTCATACCCAAACTTCACGGTTTTTATCATGCTGAAACAGACAACTCAAGATTGGAAAAGATGTAGATTATAAAATACGTAGGATAGATGCTGTACGTTTAAAAAAGTACAGATAAACTATGCAGCCATTTGCAAGTTCACTGTGCAATCATTTTTGCTAATCATAAAACAAAACTGAAATAACTGGAGAAAAAAAATTAAAGCAAGTATCTGTAAGATGATACTGAAGAGGAGTATTGCCAAGAGCAAAGCTACTGGCAACAGGGAGCTGCAAAAAGATTTATTGGTGTACTCAAAGCAAAATGCCACAATTCAGAAGAAACTGATGGATTTCCACTAGGTGGTACCCTAAGTGCACACAGCTCTCTACATTTGTCGCTCCTATTTCCATGCTTGGAAACAGAGTTAGAAGCCTGTTCCATTACAAATCTTACTAATGCGGCAGAACCTAGGGAACTACTAATGGAAACCATTTTAACACTTTCACCACATTGTCTAAGTTAATTCAGACGGTCCTCAAAAGCACAGTACTATTCCTTACACCTCAAAATTAGTCAGCTACCAGGCACAAATCCCTCTATAACCACATGGATTTACAGCCTCAGTTCCACGTAGAGCCAGACTATTTCCTACAGTCGTGTTCACATTTCACAGTGGAGGAAAACAAGGCTGCAAGCATGCAGGGTAGGAAGTGTGCCTCTTAAATTAACTGCCCGTTCTTGCATTTTACTTACACTCCACTCCTGCAGTACCTGTCCAATCTTCTGCCCTCACAGCTCCAATCTAGCCAATTTTGCAATCCACAGCTGTCTCTAGTTTTGCTCAGAACCAGTTCCCATGCCTCACCAACCTGCCAGGCTCCCCCATCATTGCTCCTTATTAAGGTCCCCAGCATAATTAAAAACATTAGCTTTAAAAGTTGCGTTACCCATCAATTAACTAACAGATCAATACAGCATTTTAGTCTCTCAATAACTTTTAATTGAGTACAGGTAAGTAACATGGATGCCTCCAAAAACACATTCCAAAAGCATGTGTACTATTGTAATCAGACAGTAAACAGCTGGCTACCCAAGTCTGTAAACACTTCTCATTTTATTTCACTTGAAAGATTACAGTGTATCTAAAAACTTGGAAAGCATCGCTAGAACATCCCCATCTTCCCAATCATAATTTCTTCATGTTTTTTTCCCCTGAAGAAATAAATAAATAAAAAGCAGCATTACACATTACAGAATAACAGCTCATTAATAACTCCTTGCAACTATTCTAAAAGATGTACCTTTTTTTTTTTTACACTGAAATGCATTAAACTGATATAATAAACTACTTCTATAATGTTGTGTTTAAGTTATGATTTCTTTTCAGTCTAACAGCAAATCTCATCTCCACCTTCCAAGACAAGATACAAGTATTTCCAGAGCTTTGGTGGAAGATGCACAAAACAAGCAGCTATATCACCTGCAAGGGATCTGGTAAGCAGCTGCAGTACAGTGTGGTATTAAAGAGTTGTATTTCACACACCTGAAATGCCCAGGGCTTCAGACAGGCACTTGGATACCACCTACTTAAAACAACATGAGCATATTCACATCAACACTGCTAGTGCAGTTTATTCAGCAAGTGAAGACTGCTGAAACGGCTTCCCTCCCTCCCTCACACAAAGATACTGAGCACTCTGTAAGCGGCTTAGAGAAGGTACCTTCGGTCTCACAGTAATGCTCTGAAGTCTTGTGCATTCTACTACCTAAAACATGTAGTACATACACACACAGTACTACATACAGCTGCTGAAAGTCATTTTCCTGCTCTATCTGCACATAAACCCACACCTTTTAATAAAGTCCTGTAGTTCCAAACTCAGGGACAATACTCTTCTATTTTTGCAAGCCACAACTTTAAGCACGCTGGGCAGGGGGACCAACAAAAAACCCAAAAAACAGGTACACAGAAGAAATGTTAACATGGAAGATTCCAACTTAAATGAGAAGCTAGGTAAAGGCATTATGAATCAACTCTCAAATTTGAGTATTCAGAGTGACACAATTTGCAGTGGCTAGATTCTTAGCATTAAGAGCTACCAAAGGTTTTGTGTGTGGTTTTTTTGCTAGTATTTCTTTGGTGGTGGTGGGTTTTTGGCTTGTTGTGTTTTGTCATGCTGTTTTTTTTTTTTTAAACTAATAACTTATATCTATGCGGGGTTATGAATCTCATCTATCAGTAAGAACAGACCAAAAATATCACTTCTTGTGTAATTTTAAGAATGCAAATCACAATGAACAAGCATTTACAAGGACAGCACGGAGACCATGTCATGATGAGGAAAAATAAACACAAGTGAGTGAAGAAGATGAGATGATGTGCTGCCAGGCTCCTTACCCATTGCTGCTGTTGTTGGAGCTCCCTGATGGTATTCTCAGCTTGCTCCAGTTTAGTAATGGCCTCATCACTCTGCTGTTTGATGGTGGCCAGCTCCCGTTTTATGAGGTAGTTTTCCTCAGCCTCCTGGGCCCTTGTCACTTGTCCCTTAGGACATAATTTATTTTTTTAAGCAATTGAGGACAAATCCAAGACTGCCTTTGTGATGCTTAGCTGCTTATTTCATCACACTGATTTTGCAAACAGCATAAAGTACAATTGGTAGAAATTTTAGGACAAGGTAGTACTAAACAGCTGCTTTAGTACTTTATTAGGAACTTCAGCATCCGTCGAGCAAGCCCAATTGCGTACTTGCATTCAATAAAATTCTTTTCATGCAGTATTACTCAGTTTTACATGCACAGATTTAAGTTTGCAATATTCAATTTCAGTGTTAATACAATGTCATTGAATCCATTTGTCATAGGAACTTATACCAAAAAAATTACATTAGGTTAGGAAAAAATATTATAACGTGCAGGTATTGGGTTTACATATTTTTAGTAAACAAAATTAAACAAGTTTCTAGCAAGAGATTAGCTCTATATTTATTCCAAATCAGCAAGGCAGGGATAGCGTACAGCATGCAAATATGCATGCATTAAAGCAGTTTGGGGTTTTTTGAGAGTAGGAAGAGAGTCATACAGTAAAAGACTATACCTGTATCAATCTATCTGCCAAGGAAGCACTTTCCTACAAAGGAAAAATTCAGATAGGAATAAGGAAAAGAAAAACCAAAAAACAAAGGGGTGATAATAGTGACAAAAAAGACAAGAGCTGAGAGAAAGAAAATGCCCAAATTCTACCCATTTTCTGTACGTACTCTTTTTGCAAAATTAAGAGCTCTTCGTGTAAATTAAGGCAACTCAGCCTGAAAGTCCCAGGAAGCAGCCTTTTCTGCAACAGATTTAACACAGTCCACCTTTGGTACACGAAGGTCTCAAAGCCAGATTTCTGTAGCACTTACAATTCACCTACAGGAGACTGGCATCTGAATGGCTCGCTTCCCTAATTAACAAAAGCTACTGATACATTATCTGATACGATCTAGTAGATAGATGCAAGATGTGGTCTATGCTCCAGCCACATCATGAAAGGAAGGCATAATTTGAGCACAAAGGAAACTCCGCTAAGCACGGAGGCATTCATGCAGAACTAAAGCCTCCAAAAAGATGAAGCAGGAAAGTTAAATGGTGCAAACTGACATACACAAGTAGAAAGTTTCAACTATGACAGCTAATATTTTGTTTTACTGAACTCTTGTGGGAACTCAGTTGAGCAGTTCATGGATTCTCTTTCCTTGCCGAAGTTTTGCAAGAAATTTTTGTTTATGCACACTGACAAGCACTACATTCCCCCTCGACAAGTTGCACATTTAATTCACTTCTGCTCTACCACCCTTGAAAGCATTCAATTTTTGCAGATTCTACAACAGAGAACACATCCATTCGCAGACCATCTTTGTCCTTGGAACTTTTATTAAAATTCAAGTTCAAACTGGTTGATAAGAGCTATTACTTAGAAGTTAAGGTAAGATGTTTGCCATTAAGGTACACTAAGGAAGTCACAACTAAATCATATAGGTTAGGATGAGGAAAAAAGATTTTAAAACAAAAATAAGTTTCCAACAGAACAACTGAATGTGTTTGTTCACACTTTATGATCTGTTTTTCAGATGCTGTGATGATAGTGATCTGCAGAAATTCTTACGAATAGATCATATTTTCCCATTTTGAAACGTTCCAATTCCAGTCAGAATGGGATACTCTGAAAGTGAATTGTGAAATTTTAAGTACAGAATTTGCAAAAACAAGTTGCTAGCATCTGGCAGTTCATCATGGACTTCCTCATAAAAAAAAAAGAATCTGATTTCAAACATCTGCAAGTTAAGTATAAAACACAGATATTTACTATTATAAATTTGCCAAGAGCATAGAAGTGATTCACTGCAGCTTCAAACTTCTTAAAGTCTGCTCTTTTCAATTAATTTCATCAGCACTTCAATGTTAGAAACAAAGATGTTTATAAAATTGTATTTTTGGTCACAGCTTTCACGATATGTCCTCATTATGTGCATATTTCCAAACTGAATTCAGAAATCAATTAATTAGAATTTGACATATGACTGGTGTTCTATGAAACTGTAATGGATTTAGCATCTGAAGTGTGACATCTTTCAATTACGTCACTCTCAATTGAATCTTTACCATTTTCTTCCCTGTGAAACATGAACAACTGTTGGCAACTCGCAAGAGCGTTCCACTTCATTTGTTGAAAGATAGTTGCTATTCAGGGTTAAGATGGACGTGAACGTTCTCATTCTAGAGCAGACCAGCTCAGAGGCAATCTGTCACAGGAAGCATCACACCAGAATACGGGCGAGGCCATTGGCGAACAACGCCTGCACGTTGGCAACGTACTGACAACAGTTATCATGCGCACTTTTAAAAGTTCTATCCAGTTACAAAGAAGCCTAACAAAACTCTATTCTGGGCTAAATCTGTCAGAAATAAGCCTTAAAAGATAATTCTCCCCGCCACATACCCAAAATTGCTACAAAAATTCAAAACTATGTAAGACAAATTAATGGCAGCAGACTTCCTGCACTGAATGTGAATGCTGCAACAACACCCCTCTGCTGCTGTATTCACTAGCAATGAAGTAATCTGCTTTCATCTCCATCTCTCTGGTCATTGGTAGGTCTGTCATTTTGCTCCTACGTAACAACACCCAGCAACTTCAGATTTTCAAAATTCAGGATTCTCTCACAATAACCTCTTTTCCACCCAAGCAGTCCACTATTTCATGCAGTCTTCTGGACTTTGAACAGATGCTTCTAATTCAGAAAGAAAACAGTACAACAAAAGTTGGCTATGTCAAAATGTTTGATTTCATATTCACCAAGAGCCAAACATAACAATCTTAAGCATTTACAAGCACTGACCCTAACTGCTTTGTTATTGCCATGCTATTTGGCTAAGCACTGTTAGTAAACACCACAGATTAGCAGGAAAAACAATAAGCTAGAATTCTGAGATTCCCATTTCATATAATAAAATTGCCATCAATTTAAGTATAAATCAACACAGATCAAATCTAATCACCAACATACTTACTTTTTCTAATGTTTCAATGCGCTGTTTTAGGAGTCTATTTTCAGTTCGTAACCTCTGGAAGGTAAACGGTTCAGAATTTTATTTCTCAAGTTATGAATTGGAAATCTGATAAAAGCGAAGCAAGCTAACAATGTTTTTATCTCACCACATCTATGAAAATCAATATAAATACAAAAATAATTAATGACCTTTTTAACATCCTTTTATATGATGTACTAAGTCAAAAGACGCGTTCAAACAGCTTGATATGGCAAAGATGAGGAGAAGTCTCGCTCTGTACAAAAGCATCTGCATCACATTAGATGAAAGCAGTACGTCTGCAGGTGAACCACAGGGCTTAGCCACACGTTAGACTCGACAGCCGCCTCTTCACAGAGCCAGACACAGTATTCATGGGTAAGGGACACGAAAGCACGCTAGGACAGGCTAATGGGATAGCCACAAGGTTTCCTTCCTTTTCCTCCCAATAAGTTGTGTTTAAGTTTTTTATATATATATAAAAAA